CTCGGTTTGATCTCGGTTTCTGGAATAGTTGTCACCAGCAACAATCCTTCATCTTCTTCCTCGGCAAGGAAGTTGGTTGGTTCCTCCTTTTTCTTCTCGGACCTACAATCTTTGGAAATATGACCCAGATTTCCACAATTGTAGCATTTTATCGAGTAACACTCCTTGGCCACATGTCCATACTTCCCACAGTTATAACATTCAATAATGTTATTTGTGTTTGATCGGCCACCCCAGGTCTGACCTCGGCCTCCCCGCGCTTGACCTCGGCCACCCTGAGTTTGACCTCGGCCACGCCAGTTCTGTTGGCCGACATACTCATTACCTCGTCCTCCTCTTCCTCGACCACCTAGGCCTCTACCTCTTCCTCGTCCTCTATTATTCTGAGCATAGAGCACCTTCTCCTCCTTTATTGTCGCCTTTGCCTGGAGAGCTTGTTCAAGGGACTCCCCCTTCTCCTTCTTATTCTTTTTCCTCTGCTCATACGCCTCCAGGGACCCAGTAAGCTCTTCGACAGTGAGCGTTGACAGATCCTTGGACTCTTCAATTGCACACACTATATTCTCAAAGTCATCTGTCAATGACCTTAAGATCTTCTCCACAACTCGGCTTGAGGGAAGATTCTCTCCATTCCTGTTTAGTTTGTTCGCCACAGTCTCCACCCGAGTAATGAACTCGGATACACCTTCTGACTCCTTCATCCTCATGTTTTCCAGTTCGCCCCTAAGGGTTTGAAGCCGAACTTGCTTCACGCGTTCATCTCCCTTTTTTGCTTTCTCGAGTATGTCCCATGCCTCTTTTGAAGATTTAGCATTAGCAATCTTCTCAAAACCCGACTCGTCAACAGCTCGGTACAGCAAATACAGTGTTGCCTTGTCCTTTGCCCGAGCAACCTTCAATGCATTCAGTTGGGCATTTGTATACCCCTCAGTGGTCACCGGTTCCTCGTACCCATTCTCAACCACATCCCAGTTGTCTTGGGAGCCAAGAAGGGCCTTCATCTGCAGCTTCCAGTTGTCGTAATTGACATCTTTAGTCAATTTGGGTAATGGAATGCCATTAGTTAAACATGCCATCTCTCTTGAGTGTATACGCTCCACTCACACACCTCACAAGAATTTTTTTCTCTTCTCTCGGGCTGGGTACACCAGGTCGGCTCAGGTCGGCTCAGGTCGGCTCACTCTCACCTCACGCACACAAGCTCTGATGCCAATTTGTTAATGATAAAAGGCATAAATTTGGGAGCAAAACAAACTCTCTATGTTCTCATTCATGTTGCAAATGAAATTACACTTATTTGTAGTTGAAAGAAAAACACAACGTTTACATCTTTAAATGCCTCTCATAATTCACACCATTAATATTATTAAAACAAAATAAAACTCCTGATTTAAGTTTCATAACAGTTAAGAGGGTCTATGTTAGGAGGAAAAGGGGAGATAGTTAGTTATTATGTTAACTAACTGATAACTGTTCTGTGGAGGCAGTTAAATTGTATAAATATTAGAGAATCATAGAAGTAGGTGTGAAGAAAATAGTGGAATAATTTCGAGAGATAGGGGCTCTCGAATTTGCCCAGTATCACTGTATTCTTTCCTTCTGGTTTGCATGGACCAGCAAAGGTTCAATAACAAATATTACAACAGTCTTTCATTTATCTCTAAATCTTCCTTAATACCCAGTTGAGATCTATCAGTAGCATATAGACCTTCACTGCCAGAGGGCTGCAAAATACACCTGGTGTTCCATATCAGCAGACTAATGAAGGATGTTCCTGCTTATTACCAACCTCAATGGCTTCCAGCTGCGTTAACAGCTGTGTGCTGACTGGTAGCTTCAACCCCAGCTTGAGGGTATCCTTCCTCTGCATTGGAACAAGCAAGGCCAAGCAGATGTTTTGGCTAAATGGATTAACCTACCGGACTGTGAGTACCCTTAGGTGTTTGTTGACACTCTACACAATACCTTTCTGATTTTCCCCTTGAGAACAAGGTGAATAATGTTTTAGGGGGGAGTATTGATGGGTGCCCAATGGTTAGGAGGGTGTATGTAAAAAGGGGAAATAAGGTTAGAACAATGAATTAATTGAAATGTATAGAACACTATAACTGGGGGGTGTTAGAAGTTAGTTGAGTTAGAAGCTCTCTCAGAAGTTGTAGGAGAGAGAAGGTGCTCTTGGATCACATTGCTGTATCCTTACTCGTTGTATAGAACAACTCACTGAATGATATTTTAGGGGTACATTGAATCTTGAGCCAACATGGCATTAGGCTGTCGTATGTTCATAACATCTACCTTAAAACAACAGGGTTACATTACAACATAATATTTGTTTGTCGTTTCATAATAATCTTTTGTTGTTTGTCTTATATCTATAATATATAATTATGTATCGCAGGATTTGCCAAAACTTAACCGCTGTACAGAACTCCTGTCTATGAATGAAGAGCTGAAACAAGCAAGAAAGGTTTTTGAATCAGAAGAATTCGATTGACGAATAAAAAATCCTAAAAACAAATAGTCATTTAGATTTATTAAATAGTGATGATAGTTTATAAAATATTTCAATTTCATCTCATGTATGTATACATTGTAATATGTATTGTTTATTATTTTCTTATATAAACAGATTAAGTTGATTGCACTAGAAAAATTATAAATCTACTTGATTGCTTGATAATTAGATTAATTATATAGTTAAAATAATCTAATAATTACTATATGTTTTCATTTATTGCATTCATTATTATTATATATGATAAAATTTGACAAAAAAAATTATGGTAAAAGAAATTTTATCAATACATTTATGAATCTAATTTTAAGATTTGGATGACATGGGTCAAATCTGCACTAGCTTTTACCTATTGTTTGTTTCAAGAGATTTTGCATAGAGTGAAATTACTTTTTAATATGCTTTTTTTTTAATTATATGAGTAACTAATTTTTAAGTGAATTTTAATGAGTATATGAATCTTAAATTTTAAAGATTTTAGTAATTTTTTAAGAAAGTAGATATTATTAGTGGTCATTTTTTTGTAAATGTATAATAAAATAGTTATTCTTAAATATGATAAAGTTTTACTTTATAAATTAACTAAATAATTTTAAAATTTTAGTACACGCGGAGAAAACAAGTGCATGATATTTAACATTCTTATCTTTTCAAGTGTGAAAAGTATAATTTAAAATAATAACAAGGAAAATTATTTGACACTTAATCAAATTTAAATTATCCCTAACTAAAAAATAACAAAAATAATAAAAAAATTATAACTAACTGATTTAAATATATAATTCAAAAGTATATTGTAAGGTATGTTAGTTTTGTTCAAATAGAAATATATATATATATATATATATATATATATATATACGTATTACACGTGCTACATTAAATATGAAAGTTTAAGTATTTTTTAAAATTAAATATAATATAAGGCACATTTAGAATATTATTTTGAATTTTTTTATTTTGTATTAATGTGTTTTTAGTTGATAATAATGTAGCAAATTAATAAATTTATTTTAGAATTTAATTTATATCATTCTTTGTTTTATATGTTGATAACATTATATGTGCAACAATGTATCAAATGATTTACATTTATTTTAGAATATTTAAATTTTTACAATTAAAAATAAATTTAATTATGTTAACCTGATTAATTTAACTCGTTCGTGATCGAGTTGGGTTGGGTTTTAAAAAAAAATATGCATAAACCCGACCAAATCCAACCCGTTAAATTTTGATTAGATCAGATAAGGGATTCATTCAAACCTAACTCAACTCGACTCGCTTACACCCCTTGACTACACATAATAATTCTCAATCTTTTTAGGCAAATGGTATATCACATCATTTTAATTTTATATTCCCAATGAAATATTAGTTAAGAGGTTCTCCATCATTAAATCTCATGATCAACCATTTTTAAAATAACAAACTCTAATTCAATAATTATTATTGATTAATCTCAAATTAATCTCACTACAATAAAATATAATGACATAACACTAGTAGATTTTATCTCATATGTATCTGGGACTCAATTAATCATTATTATATTTTCTAATACAATTAAAAATTCACAATGTTAAATACCATTAATTTATAACATATTTATAACATCTCATGTTATGTAAAATATTATAATATTAATAACATCATGTTACTCATAATTCTCTACTAACTCATGTTATAAATGATTATAACTTTCAAGAATTATACTCAAAAAACTCATATCACTAATATCATCATACCATAAAGGTATCAATATATATAATTAATATATCCAAAATTAGAGAAAAAATGTTCATCCTCACGTAAAAATCATTCACACTAAAATCAACATAATTATTTATCTATATTGTTCTAGGTTAGTTTCTCTCATAAAAATTATAATTTTTCTTACTACGAAGAGATTTTCAAAAATAATATTAATTGTGTACACTATTTTTCTCTAAATGATGCCCAACAATTATTTTCTTCACCTCTTCACCACAAACTTTGACATAATAAATAAGTATTTAATTCTTCTCAAACACTTTTAATACAAACAATTAAATATATAAAGTCTTTCAACAATATAACGTGCTAATCATGATTGTGAACTTGGCTGTATGAATAACAAGTTAAAAACAAAATTGAATGAATATGAACATTGAGTATCAAGTAATCCCAATATTCTTCTCCTCGCTCCTCGCATCTCAACACCGAATGTTTCTGTCACACCTTATTTATCTCCTCTGCTCCCTTAGGATTTTATTTCCAAATTTTGCATCATCTTTAACAATTCACATACGCAGAATTCGATCCAAATTGTCTTTTATTATTTATATTTTTAAAATTTAAAAATAAAACATCTTAATGTTTTCTTAAAGACTCAGAAAACTTGATTGACCAAGGATAGTCTATTCAGTATTCATAGAAAATAACTTGCGCGCCACACTCATTTTTCCCATTGCACTTTACTTCATGTCTCTTCTTCTCTTCATCCATAGCCACACCCACTACATTCTTTTCCTCCGAAATTGTTCGTGACTGATTCTATTGTTCTTGCGTCTCCTCCACCGTCGTTCGCGACGCTGCAAGATTCTTGGGTCTTTCCCACCGTTCGCCCAGTTTTTTACGACTTCTTTTGCCATGTAGTATGTCTTTAGCTTTTCACATTATCTTTGTTTAGGGTTTTTACATTTTTGTATTTCTATTATGCCTCACCAATGCACCCGAACCCTGTGAGGGTTACTGCTCAAAAATTCCTATTTTTTTTGTTGCTCTTGGAACTGTTATTGGCGGTGGGTCCGTGCTGAAAAGTTTCTATTTTACTGCTGAAAAGTTTCTGCAATTTCGTCTATTAAAGAGAGTTTTTGGCAATTGTTGTAGCTGGGTCCGTGATTGGGTGGTGGAGAATGTCGATTGATTAGTTTGGAAATAATGTTATTTATGTTTTGTGGGGGATACTTTCCTTACGTGGTTGTTTGTTAGGTGGGTTCTGGTTTGTCTTCTTGTTGAAATTGTGGGCATATGCTATTATTCAATCGGTGTTTGAGGCCCCCTGGAATCTGTGACTACTTTTGCTTCTTTTTGTGCATTTTAAGCCAAACTACTGCTAACATAAGAGGAAAAGTTGAAAAACCCTTTCGCTCCGATTATTGTCCTCAAAGTTAGTGCTTTGGCCTGATTCTTCAAATAGAATGGAAAGGAGGTACCAAGGGGCAGGGGTCACAATCACATAAGATATGATAATAAACAAAATTAAAACTATACAGAATGTTAGATTTCAGAGGATAGAATATTGGCAAAGGGTCCCACACAAGGTCAAAAAAATGTTAATGTGTTTTGGGATGTAATATGCCACAACAAAATCTAAATAGTGGTCTCTTTCTGATAAGGAATGCAATCATAGGATCAATATGACATGATTGTTTAAATAGTGCCTACACTTACTATCGGATAAGGTGCTTACATTTATTGTTTTGTGTCTCGAACATGATTGTTTTGAAAGAGTGAGACATGTGAGAAACCAAAAAGACAATGAATGTTTTGTATTAGCTAAGTTACTAGAAGAATGACACCAAAGTGAGTAGATAACACCAAAGTGAGATTTATGAACGAATGTGTGAGGAAGGTGGTCCTTATATAGAGGGAGGCACATGGAAATAGCAAAGTTGGAAATAGGTGGAAATGGCCATATATTTTAGGAAAACAAGGGGAAGTAAACCGGTGGTTTTTGGAAAGACAATGGGCTATATGATTAAGAATAAGATACATGCATCCTGAGTTATAGGACTAAGAAGTAGGAACACGTGTATGTCTTTGCTAAGTGCTATTGAATTTGACGTGGCATCATTGCTTGTAGCCTCATCATATTTTGTATGGATCCAACAAATAATTATAAGCATTAATATTTAATGAAATCAAAGGAACTTGTAACCTTTGAATGAAAAATATAACATGATATGTAGGAATAAAGATCTAGCAGTATTTTATAAAGATGAATATATTTCCAACTTAAAAAAAATATTTGGCAATTGCCATTAGCATAATTACCGTTACATGACTTCTACCAGTCATAATACGATACTTGTTTTACTATACAATAACCAGGACTAAGCCAACATGGAAATAGGTTATAGAAATCCCAGGTCTCATTCATTTTTGTGGCTACAAATTAAATTAAAAAGAAAATTGTCTGCTTAGTTGGGACCCCAACAACTTAAGTACATAACAGTTCTTAAGGACTCCTCTGACTGCTTTTGCCCCTTCAATCCGCTAGAAGTAGAAACCATAGAAGAAGAGGAAAATTTATTTTCCTGTGACAAAGCTCCAACGTGGCTTCACTAGTTTCTGAGCTAATATTAAAGCATATTTCCACCTGCATATGCCCTGGTCCTTCAAGGCCTCCACAACTCCAACACTAGTTGCGACAATCTATACTCTCCCTGCTGAATTCATTTTGCTACTTCTATGGTCAAAACTTCTTTCTTATGTTTCTTTTAAATGATGGAAAACATGTAGCTGCAGTTTATGCTAGTGTAATGCGGTAATCAAGAGAACACTGGCAAATTAGATGTTTGTTTGATGAGGCAAATGCATAGAAGTGTTACTTATATAGAGAGAAGGTGGCTAAGTTTATTTCGAAAAACCACTGGCATGAGAAACCATGATAGAATATTGGCAAAGAGTCCCACACAAGGTCAAAAAATGTTAATGTGTTTTGAAAACGTGAAACATGTGAGAAACCAAAAATACAATGAATGTTTTGTGTTAGCTAAGGTACCCAAAGAATGACACAAGATAAATAGGATACTGCTGCTCTCTTTTTTTAGGTTGTGTGTAAATATGTTAATTTTTTTTTTCTTTTTCACTCGAGAAAGAATTGCCCTACTTTTTTAGGTTTGCTGCTTGACTGGAGCATTAAATACTTGTGCTATGTTCATATTAATGGTATTATGCCAATTTCTTTAATTTCTTATATGTACAATGATAATGATTTTGTATTATGATCCGTGAATTTATTATTCGTGGGTATACCATAGCAGCAGAATTACATTTGATGTTAACGAGGTAAAAAGTGGGATAAAGTGTCTATAATTTAAATCAATTTTAACTTGATTATCGTTTCAAACTTGTTTTCAAAACTATAATAGTTTACAACTGGTTTAAGATTTGAAATATATATTTAAGCTAGACTGATTTTAAAATCGATCTTGAACCATAAATTGGTTTTAAAACTAAATTGGTTTCACAATGAATTTAAACCATTAATTAGTTTTAAAATAGATATAAAAAAACCAAGTCTTTGTTTAAAATAAAATTTAAAATTATTTATTTCGTTAAAATTAGTTTTAAAAAACTGATTTTGTGATTTAAACCTAGCTTTGAAATCAAACGGTTCGATGTGAAATGCTTGAATGAATTGGAATAATTTCAATTCGATGGATTAGTAATACTAGTTGTTGTTATTGTTATTGTGATTATGATGGTGATGATGTGTATTTTATGTTTTATTTATTTACGTGTGTTGTTTGTGACTTGTGTGTGTTTGTGTCTTTTTTTTTGTATGTTGCGTTTGCTTATATGTCTGTGTCTCTACGGGTGTGCATATCTATGCCTTGTATCTATGTTTTGTGTATGTGTGCTGTCTTCGTCTCTGTTGAGAGTAATGGTGAATGGAGAGAACATATTTCTTGTGTATTGCAAAGCAAAATATGTGTTTAAATACAAAGTAGTGGGCCTAGGCCCATAAGATAAAAACTATAAGATAAAAATTATAAGATAAAATTATATCTAACACTCCCCCTCAAGCTGGTTTATATAGATCATATGCACCAAGCTTGTTACAAATATAATCAATCCTAGGACCCCGTAATGATTTGGTGAAGACATCTGCCAACTGATCAGTAGAGTTAACAAACTGAGTAGTAATGTCCCCAGATAAAATCTTCTCACGAATGAAGTGACAATCTATTTCAATGTGTTTGGTCCTCTCGTGAAATACTGGATTTGAGGCAATATGCAGGGCAGCTTGGTTATCACATATGAGAGTCATCTGTGTAACTTCGCCAAATCTCAGTTCTTTAAGCAACTGTTTGAGCCAAATAAGCTCACACGTAGCAGAGGCCATGGCACGGTATTCTGCTTCTGAACTAGATCTTGCCACTACATTCTGCTTCTTACTTTTCCACGAAATCAAGTTATCACCAATAAAGACACAATAACCTGAGGTGGATCTCCTGTCAGAGGGAGAGCCTGCCCAATTTGCATCTGAGTATCCCACAATTTGGGTATGATTGTTGTAGCCATATAATAAACTTTTTCCTGGAGCACCTTTGATATACTTCAGAATGCGGATGACTGCATTCCAATGTCTAGCACATGGAGAATTGAGAAATTGACTCACCACACTAACCGCAAAAGAGATGTCAGGACGAGTTACCGTGAGATAATTCAATTTTCCAACCAGTTTTCTGTACCTCTCAGGATCTGAGAAAGGCTCCCCCTGACTTTGCTTAATACTTTCCTTACACGTAACCAATCCCTGAACCCAATTCTAGCTACAAAGATCTTTATTGGAATTTTCAAAAATCTTTTCTTTTTCCAATATTTTGAGTAAAACATTAGTGACGACTCCATGAACTCATTTTTCAAAACCATTAATTAAGATCCCCTTGCTAGTAATCATGAAACCAAGGAACTTACCTCCCTGGACACCGAAGACACACTTTTCTGGATTGAGACGCATGTTGTGTCTTCTGATCTGGCCGAACACTTCGGCGAGGTCGGCAGCATGAGCTTCGGCTGAGGTGGTTTTGACCACCATGTCATCGACATAGACCTCCATGTTTCGGTCGATCTGCTGGTGGAAAACCTTGTCCATCAGCCGCTGGTAGGTGGCCCCTACGTTCTTAAGACAGAAAGGCATCACTCGATAGCAGTAATTGGCGTGATCGATGATGAAGGATGTGTGCACCTCGTCAGGTGGGTACATCATTATCTGGTTGTACCCGGAGTAGGCGTCGAGGAAACTGAGGAGGGCGTGTCCAGACGCTCCGTCGACCAGCCTGTCAACGCTCGGCAGGGGGTATGAGTCCTTGGGGCACGCTCTGTTCAAGTCGGTGTAGTCGACGCACATTCACCACTTTCCTGAGTTCTTCTTTACCAGCACCACGTTTGCTAGCCATGTGGTGTACCTGACTTCACGGATGAAGTCAGCGTTCATCAACTTTTGTGTCTTGGTGATGATGGCCTCCCGCTTCTCGCCACCGACTTTCCTCTTCCTCTAGGCCACTAGCTTTGCCTCCTTGTGAATTGCTAACCTGTGACTGATGAAGTCGGCGTCTATGCCTGGCATGTCGGCACTGGACCATGCAAAGAGGTCGACGTTCTTGAGGATCTCAACTTCGAGCTGTTGCCGTAACTCCGGGCTCAACTGCCTGCTGATCTTCGTGCATTGCCCCGAGAGTTTTCCGATCTAGAGGTCATCGAGCTTGTCGATGGGACTCGGTCGTTCATCGTGGGAATCAGACCTCGGGTCGAGGTCAGTGATCTCCACGTGGGTGATGTGAGCCACTGTAGGAGGATCTCTCTTGCATCACTCGCCGGACGAGGAGATTTTCAGACTCTCGGTGTAGCACTGCCGAGCTGTCTTCTGGTTTGCCTTGACAGAAATAATGTTCCCATCACTCCTAGGGAATTTCATGGTGAGGTGTGGGGTGGACACCACTGCTCCGAGTTGATTCAAGGTCGGCCTCCCAATAATTATGTTGTAGGAAGTGTTGGATTCCACGAGGAGGTATTGGACCATAATCTGCCTTGTGTCTGGGGAGGTCCCGAAAGTTGTCAGCAGGTCCACGTATCCCCGAGTGTGTACTCGCTCTCCTGCAAAACTGACTAGGGGCTCTGTGTGAGGTTGGATGAGAGAGTGAGGGATGTCTAACCTGAGGAACGTCGGCCAATATAGGACGTCAGTCGAGCTTCCTTGGTCGATCAGTGTCTTGTGGACCTCCCAATTACTGACTTCACGGATGAAGTCAGCGTTCATCAACTTTTGTGTCTTGGTGATGATGGCCTCCCGCTTCTCGCCACCGACTTTCCTCTTCCTCTAGGCCACTAGCTTTGCCTCCTTGTGAATTGCTAACCTGTGACTGATGAAGTCGGCGTCTATGCCTGGCATGTCGGCACTGGACCATGCAAAGAGGTCGACGTTCTTGAGGATCTCAACTTCGAGCTGTTGCCGTAACTCCGGGCTCAACTGCCTGCTGATCTTCGTGCATTGCCCCGAGAGTTTTCCGATCTAGAGGTCATCGAGCTTGTCGATGGGACTCGGTCGTTCATCGTGGGAATCAGACCTCGGGTCGAGGTCAGTGATCTCCACGTGGGTGATGTGAGCCACTGTAGGAGGATCTCTCTTGCATCACTCGCCGGACGAGGAGATTTTCAGACTCTCGGTGTAGCACTGCCGAGCTGTCTTCTGGTTTGCCTTGACAGAAATAATGTTCCCATCACTCCTAGGGAATTTCATGGTGAGGTGTGGGGTGGACACCACTGCTCCGAGTTGATTCAAGGTCGGCCTCCCAATAATTATGTTGTAGGAAGTGTTGGATTCCACGAGGAGGTATTGGACCATAATCTGCCTTGTGTCTGGGGAGGTCCCGAAAGTTGTCAGCAGGTCCACGTATCCCCGAGTGTGTACTCGCTCTCCTGCAAAACTGACTAGGGGCTCTGTGTGAGGTTGGATGAGAGAGTGAGGGATGTCTAACCTGAGGAACGTCGGCCAATATAGGACGTCAGTCGAGCTTCCTTGGTCGATCAGTGTCTTGTGGACCTCCCAATTAGCTACCTCCACGGTGATGACCATGGGGTCATCCTGGTTGGGGCTGACGCCAGCGTAGTCGTCGTCGGTGAAGGTGATGGGCGGTGAGCTTTGGTGCGAAGCCGAGGTAGTGGAGTGGACGCTGTTGATATTGCGCAGGTGTCTCTTCCGGGCCGAGCTGCTGGCGCCTCCCCCTGCGAAACCACCTGCAATTGTGTTGATTACTCCCCGTAGGGGAGCTGACCCTGTTGCCTGGCTTACCTCGGCTTGCACTGCTCCACCGGCGTTTTTCTGAGAGCTAGAGGGTTGGTCCGTGTGAGCTCCCGAACCACGACCTCTGCCTCGTCCTTGTCCACCATAGCCTCCTCGGTAACCCTGCTATCGTTGGACATATTGGCCGAGGTGGCCTGCCTGTATGAGTTCCTCAATACGATCTCGGAGTGTGCGGCACTCTTCAGTGGTGTGACCGTGGTTTCTGTGATACCGACAGTGTTTGGACTTGTCCGCACTGTTAGGAGTGTGACCTGGTGGTGGCAGGGTGAGAAGGTTGCTGTTACTAGCCTCCTCCAGGATGTGAACTCGGGGCGTATTCAGGAGAGTGTTTAATTAATCGAATATTACTATATTTATGTTCGATCAAATCGAATATTTTGTGTTAAAGTTAGAATGAGTTTAAATATTATTTATCAATATGAATTTATTGTTATCCCTAATAATGATTATGTCTCAATGAACTATTTTACTGATAATCTCATAGATTTATTCATGGAAATTAGTTAGAATACACTATCGTCTTTTCATTTAATATTGTATTTCTCAATTTATCCTAAACTCTATTGAACCAAAAGTCACTCCACTACTATCAATTTAAAACGGTATAGTTCTTGAATTGTCTTTTTTTATCCACATGAAGACAAAAGCCATCCGAGTGAGCATTTTTTTATTGTATTTTAATTGATGTAAAAAATTGAGCTTTGTAATCAGCACCAGGAGAGAGAAAAATGACCCGAGAAGGAAGAGATCCGTGACAAACGATGGCCAATCACAAAACAAATAATAGATCGGGGTAGAGGGGGTCTGGGCGAGTCCGGCGCCGGTGATCGCCGCCGGAAAAGTCGCCGGAC